TTCCCTGGGATCTGCTCCCTGAGCTCCCACCCCATCCCCTTCCCTGGGATCTGCTCCCTGAGCTCCCACCCCATCCCGTTCCCTGGGATCTGCCCAAAGCCCCCCGGGATTTGCACATTCCCAGCAGCTCAGGGAATCCCGGAACGGTTCGGGTGGTCAGGGACCCCAGAGCCCCTCCGGTGCCACCCTGCCCTGGCAGGGACAGCTCCCGCGGCTCCCGGTGTCCCGGCAGGATCCCCTGGGTGCAGCCCCTCGTGCCTGGAGCGGTCTGGGAGGGCACAGGTGGGGCTGGGCAGGTCCCACAGCGCTGGAGGCACCTGCAGCTCCTCCCTGCTGGAGACCCCCAACTTCCACAGATCCACCGGGATGGACTGCGGAATCCTGGAACCACTGAGGCTGGGGTGGCACTGGAGGGGCTTTGGGGTCCCTTCCCACCCAAACCATTCCAGGATTGTGGGATACTGGGCTCGCAGGAGATGGGGTCTGGCCTCCTTGGGGGGAATGCAAAGCTAAAATACATCCCTGAGGGAGAATTCCTGAAGGAGGAAGTTGGGGCTGTTGAGGAACAAGAGACGTGGAGTCCGCTCTCCAGGAGGGATCTCAAAGCCCTGTGGATGTGGCACTTGGGGACTTGGCACTGCTGGGAATGGCTGGACTCGACGGGCTCTGAGGTTTTTCCAAACCAAAAGCTTCTGTGGTTCTGTGATCCCGTGCCTCGGGAAGGGCAGAGGGACACACAGCCACCCACAGGTGCTCTGGAAAACCGGGATGGCCACGAGTGACCAAGAGCAGGGACAACCATTCCCAACCCAATAAACCTCCCCAGCCTCCAAACCAGGACCCAGCGTGCTCCAGGGTTTTTTTAGACTGATTTCCTACTTTCCAGGAGTGCTCAGGCCCTGCCCTGCCTGGGATATGCAAGGATTTACAGCATCCCGAAGGATATTGCTCAGAACCCCTTACTCCAGCAGGGCCGGGGCCACTGAGACACCCAGCAGCCTCCTGCAGCTCCTGCCTGGCTCCAGAGGGAAATTCAGGAAGAGTTCAGCCCCCTCTGGACCCCTCCCAGCCCTGAGCACGCAGAGATGATGGAAACGGCTCAGCTTCCACTGGGAGCCCTGGGAGCTGCCCCAGGGAACAATCCAACAATGCCACCACGAGCACAGGCACTGGGTTCGACCCCTCCAGGCTGCCACATCCCCCCCAAGCCCTTTTTTCGGTTAAAATTGTCCCTGGCTGGGCGCCCTGCCCCGGTGGTGCAATGCAGTTTGGAGGAGCGATGCCCTGGTTCCAGCAAATCCATTCCCAAGGCAGGAAGGGGATCCCAGGCACGGGAGCTGCCTCCGGGCGCAGGGGAGGGCAGCAGGGCCCGTTCCAGCTCGGCACAGGCTCTGGAAATCAGCTTCTCCAGGTTTTATTGGGAAGGGGCTGGCAGGAAGTGCTCCAGTGCCCTGGGCAGAGCCCCAGCCCCGCTACGTCCTGGAGCTCAGGCTGGGTTTTCAAGCAGAATAAATGGATTTGGGGCCAGCTCCCCCCAGCAGCCATTCCCAGATCCCTGCGGATGCTCCAGCCCCTCCTCTGGCTCTGCCCTGGAGAAACAGAGCAGCAATTGTGCACGTCCAGCAATTCCGGCTGTCCAGGGGCAGGGATGGCATTGTCACCTCCTCCCCGTCCCCAGGAGCTGCCCTGAGCGCAGCCCCCGCAGGGCAGGGCGGGCTGCGGGAATGGAGGAGCCCGGCATGGGAATGATTCCCGAGGATCCTGGCATGGGAATGCCGAGGATCCCAGCACGGGAATGATTCCTGAGGATCCCAGCACGGGAATGATTCCCGAGGATCCCAGCATGGGAATGACTCCCGAGGATCCCGGCACGGGAATGACTCCCGAGGATCCCGGCACGGGAATGACTCCCGAGGATCCCGGCATGGGAATGATTCCCGAGGATCCCAGAATGGGAATGATTCCCGAGGATCCCAGAATGGGAATGACTCCCGAGGATCCTGGCATGGGAATGATTCCCGAGGATCCCAGAATGGGAATGATTCCCGAGGATCCCAGAATGGGAATGATTCCCGAGGATCCTGGCATGGGAATGACTCCCGAGGATCCCGGCATGGGAATGCCAAGGACCCCAGCATGGGAATGACTCCCAAGGATCTCAGCATGGGAACGATTCCTGAGGATCCCAGCATGGGAACGATTCCCGAGGATCCCGGCATGGGAACGATTCCCGAGGATCCCTGCATGGGAACAATTCCCGAGGATCCCGGCACAGGAATAATTCCCAAGGATCCCGGCACAGGAATGATTCCCAAGGATCCCAGCACGGGAATGACTCCCAAGGATCCCAGCACGGGAACAATTCCCGAGGATCCCGGCACGCACACGGATGAGTGGCCGGGCGGGCCCCACACACCCGCAGCCCTGGGGTCCCTCCTGCCCTCCGTGGCACCCGGGGCCAATTCCGCAGGGCCAGCCCAGCCCCGGCTGCGGGAGCTCCCGGCGCAATCCCTGTGCAATCCCGGCGCAATCCCAGCAGCTCCTGGCGCGATCCCGGCCCGGCTGCGGGAGCTCCCGGCACGATCCTGGTGCGGCTGCTGGAGCTCCTGGCATGATCCCGGCCCGGCTGCGGGAGCTCCTGGCATGATCCTGGTGCAGCTGCAGGAGCTCCCGGCGCGATCCCGGCGTGATCCCAGCATGATCCTGGCCTGGCTGCGGGAGCTCCTGGCGCGATCCCGGCCCGGCTGCGGGAGCTCCCGGCACGATCCCGGTGTGGCTGCGGGAGCTCCTGGCACGATCCCGGCCCGGCTGCGGGAGCTCCTGGCGCAATCCCGGTGCGATCCTGGCGCGATCCCGGCCGAGCCGGGCAGGAGCTGCCCCAGCGCTGGGAGCGGGCTGGCACAGGCTGGGAGGGGTGTCCTGCTCGGGAGCCCGGCTCAGGGGTGGCGCAGCACGGTCTGCAGGTCCTCGGGCAGCGAGCCGATGACGGTGGCGATGTAGAGACTCACCCTCTGCAGGGTCTCCTCCTTCACGGGCAGGTGCTGGCACCGAGCCCTCACCTGCGGGACACGGGGATGAGCAGGGGCCTTCCCCTGCCCGGGCCCTGCCCGCTGCAGCTCAGGACTAACAGGCAGGAAACGCCGCCTGAGCCTCGGAAGAACTTCCCTGCATCCTCCCAGCTCTGAGGATTTCACACAAACGCCGAAATTCCCCGAGCTTCCCAGCCCTCCGGGAGGGACAGCAAGGTTTTCCAAGGCACGGGTGTGATCTGTGTCCCGGATTTCTGCCCAGCCGGAGAGAGGGAGCAGTGCAGGGGGAGGGAGGGACTCACCAGCTTCTCCCGAAGCTTCAGCACCAGGTCCACGATCTCCACCTCGGACTTGTCCTTCATCCAGGCCACAATGTCCTAAGGAGAGAGGGGCTCCCCTCAGGGACACTTCCCAAGGGATTCCCCTAAGGAAAGCCTGAAGGTGAGCAGGGGGTTCCTCATCCTCATTCCTGAAACAGTGACAGAGCCCCTCCAGTGCCACCCCAGCCACGGCAGGGACACCTCCCACTGTCCCAGGCTGCTCCAGCCCCGGTGTCCAGCCTGGCCTTGGGCACTGCCAGGATCCAGGGGCAGCCCCAGCTGCTCTGGCAATCCCAGCCCAACCAGGAATTCCTCATTCCCAATCTCCCATCCCTGGCTGCCCTCTGGCAGTGGGAGCCATTCCCTGGGTCCTGTCCCTCCATCCTTGTCCCCAGTCCCTCTGCAGCTCTCCTGGAGCCCCTTCAGGCCCTGCCAGGGCTCTGAGCTCTCCCTGGAGCCTCCTCATCTCTGAGTAAAGTCAGCCCTGTCCCTGTCCCAGCCCTGTCCCTGTCCCTGTCCCAGTCCTGTCCTTATCCCTGTCCCAGCCCCGTCCCTGTCCCTTTCCCGGCCCTGTCCCTATCCCAGCCCTGTCCCTGTCCCAGCCCTGTCCCAGCCCTGTCCCTGTCCCTGTCCCAGCCCTGTCCCTGTCCCAGCCCTGTCCCTGTCACCCACCGCCTCACAGATGGCCTCCAGGTGCAGGGCCTCGAGCTTCTGGGTCATCTCGCGGTGCCGCTGCCGGAACCAACCGTCGAAATTGGGGGACTTGAAGAATCGCCTGTGGAGAGGTCAGGAACTGTGGGACTGTGGGGCCCTGGAGCTGGCAGGGACCCACAGGGACAACCCCACCCTGTGCCCCTCAGCTCCCTGGGTGACCCGAGGCTGGCTCAGGGACACCCCTGGATGTGGGCACAGATTCCCAGAGCAGCTGGGGCTGCCCCTGGATCCTGGCAGTGCCCAAGGCCAGGCTGGACACTGGGGCTGGAGCAGCCTGGGGCAGTGGGAGGTGTCCCTGCCATGGCAGGGGTGGCACTGGAGGGGCTCTGGGCTCCCTTCCCACCCAAACCATTCCATAATTCTATAACTATTGTTTCTGATTGCTTTCTGGGATTTTTTCATTCTCCATCTGTGTTCATTTCCCATTTTCCTCCCTTGGATTTTTCCCACTCCTATTGCACCAAGTGCCCTCTCCATCCCATCCAGAACCAATAATCCAGGGAAACCCTGGACCACATCCCCTGCAGGATCCCCACTCGTTTAACACACACGACCCCCAGGGCTGGATTTGAGCCGGCTTTGCTCTCCCTGGCCATCCTGGATTAATCCATGGATGTGTTCTGCAGGCCCCCTGGGCCCTGCTGACCCAGGCTGTGCTGCCCGTGGGCACTGGCCCAGCAGGGCTGGGACCAGGCTCCCTGCAGGTCTCACCTGTAGAGCCCCAGCCAGTCCCCCTTGAGCACACAGGTGAGCTGGGGGCCGGCGTGCTCCAGGCTCTTCATGAAATCCTCCTGGCAGAACGGGCGGATCTGGGGGGGATTCTGCACAGGGAAACCCATGTTAGCCCGTGGGAATCCATGGCAGGGAATCCCAAATGAAACCAGGAAAACGAGGGTGCACTTCCGGTGGGAAAGGTGCACAAGGCACTGAGGATAAATACACCACAAGGCTGATCCTCACATGAGATTCCCAGTAATTCAGCTCCTGGCAAAACTGGGAATATCCGTCCCGAGAGCTCTTTCAACTTTTTAATGAATTTTTAAAACCCCTCTTCCTGCAACAGGGGAGGTTCCCAGCCCCTGTAACCACTGCCAATCCCAAAGGGAAGGAGGATTGGGAAGTGCATCCTACCTTCCATGGGGTGATGGCCCTCTGCAGAGGCATCAGGCTGGCCATGTAGTGCTCCTAAAACAAGAAAAGATAAAAATAAAAATAATCACTTACATTGAGGTGGTGCCCAGAGCAGCTGGGGCTGCCGTGGATCCTGGCAGTGCCCAGGGCCAGGCTGGACACTGGGGCTGGAGCTCCTGGGGCACTGGGAGGTGTCCCTGCATGGCAGGGGGATGGATGAGTTTGAAGCTCCTTCCCACCAGGGCTCCCCGCTCCGGGCTCCGTCACGGGGCTGCTCCCCGTCCCCCCGGGGTGTCCCTGCACTCACCAGAGGGATGATGAAGCTCTGGGTGAGCTCCAGGAGGTGCCTCCTCAGCAGAGCGCTCTGCACCTCCGAGGGGCGCTTCCGCTGGATGCCCTGCGGGACACGGGGGTCACCCAGGGCACAGGGGGGTCACAGGGGTCACCTGGGGTCACCCAGGGCACAGGGGGTCACACAGGGTCACCTGGGGTCACCCAGGGCACAGGGGGGTCACAGGGGTCACCCAGGGCACGGGGGGTCACAGGGGTCACCCAGGGCACGGGGGGTCACACAGGGTCACCCAGGAGTCACCCAGGGCACAGGGGGTCACACAGGGTCACCCAGGAGTCACCCATGGCACAGGGGTGTCACTCAGGTGTCCTCTGACTGTCACACACAGCCACGGGAGCCTGAAGTGCTGCCCAAACTGCAGATCCCAAACCCCAGATCCCAAACCCCAGATCCCCAAACCCCAGATCCCTAAACCCCAGACCCCCTAATCCAGATCCCCAAACCCCATATCCCAAACCCCAGATCCCAAACTGCAGATCCCCAGATCCCCAAACTCCAGATGCCAAACCCCAGATCCCCAAACCCCAGATCCCCAACCCCAGATCCCAAACCCTAGATCCCAACCTCCAGATCCCCAAACTTCACTTCCCAAACCCCAGATCCCAAACTCCACATCCCCAAACCCAGATCCCAAACTCCACATCCCCTAACCCAGATCCCATAGCACAGATTCCACCCTCAACTCAAGCACATTAAAATTTCAAGTTTCACTACACAAAATCTGGGCTTTTTCCCTTTTTTTTTTTTTCCGATACCAATTCTTCCCACTCAGTTTATTGTTAGCAGCAGGATTTCATCCTTAATATCAGGTGGAAAATCCTAAACCTGGCATGATTAATGTGTCCCAGTGTGGACTAGATCATCCCAAACTGTAAGTTCTGCTCCTTTGGGGAGCTCTGCTCAAACTGAGCTCTTGGCAGGGTTTTCCCACCCAGGACAGAGTGGGAGCTGCCTACCTTTAGCAGCCTTTTAATCAGGGTTTTGTCTTTGTGCAGGAATGTTTTATAGGAAGTGTAGATCCCTGGATGGGAACAACGCAGGATGGAATAAAAACCAGGAGTTACAAAGGGACACAGTCCCTTGCTGCCAAATCCCCAAGGGAAGGGGCAGCCCTGAGGGATGCCCGAGGCCTGGACCCACCTGGTTTGGTGTCCAGGGTCTTCAGCTTGGCCAGTTTCTTCACCTTCACCTGCTTGGGCAGGTCTCCTGTCACACACAGGGGGACAGCTCAGGCTCTGTGCCTTCATGCTGGGAGTGCCCCTGGGGACACCAGCCCTGCCCTCACTGCCCAGCTCCCCCCACCCTCAGAGCAATCCCAGCTCCCTTCCCTGCTGGAATTCTGCAGTGAGGATGTGCTAGAAACCAGCTCCTCACCCCCAGGGCTTCCTTGGCTTCCCAGTCAACAGAGGTGCTCCATAAAGGAGAGGAGGTTTCTCTCTCTCCACCTCTCAAATTCCTGCCCAGGAAGGGCCTTTCCTCCCCTGGAAGCTCCAGGACAGCAATTCCTGCTCCCCACACCCTGCCCCAGCTCCATGCTCATCCTGCACACAGCCACGGCCAGGGGTGAGCTCCTGTGGCTCTCCCAGGAGAGGGAATCACT